ATATGGGCAATGACCTGCTCATGGCCCGAGTGGACCTCACCCCCATGTTAGAAGGACACGTAAGCCTTTTAGCCAATCTTTTCATCATTTTGCCTTCTCAACCCGGGTCTTGTTTCTGAATAGCACGCGTCTGATCAGTGGTACAATGCCACAGCCGGTTGCGGGTCGTTTCATCTCAAAATTGACTTCAAGCCCACCCGCAATGAACCCCTTACCATTGAAGCCTTTGAGCTGCTCAAAGTCATTGGTAAAGGCAGCTTCGGCAAGGTTATGCAAGTCCGCAAGAAGGACACCCAGCGAATCTATGCGCTCAAGACCATCCGCAAAGCGCACATTGCGCAGCGCCCTGGTGAAATCACACACATCCTCGCAGAGCGCACGGTACTTGCGCTTGTCAATAATCCTTTCATCGTCCCTCTCAAGTTTTCATTTCAAACTCCTGACAAGTTGTACCTGGTGATGTCATTTGGTACGTCAGGACTTCTTTCTTCGGCTCCGGCATTCCGACGATCTTCTACAGTGAACGGAGGTGAACTATTCTACCACCTTCAGAGAGAAGGAAAGTTCGACCAGGATCGTAGCCGATTCTATGCTGCTGAGCTGCTGTGTGCTTTGGAACATCTTCATGGTTTCAATGTCGTCTATCGGTAAGAAGTTTTATCTCACGCACAGCAGCAATGATGAACACCCGTCAGCGACCTTAAACCAGAAAATATTCTTCTCGATTATACAGGCCATATCGCATTATGCGACTTCGGTAAGTTCGCTCGTACATTCGCGATGGTATTGCCTGATATCTATCAGGACTTTGTAAACTAAATATGTCTGAAACTGAGAAGACCAACAGTAAGTCTGATCAATCAATCACTCCTCACACAGCTTTCTCATGTACACACAGCCTTCTGTGGTACTCCCGAGTACATCGCACCTGAACTGTTGGAGAGTCAAGGATACACCAAAACTGTTGATTGGTGGACGCTCGGCGTGCTGCTGTACGAGATGATGGTTCGTACATCCAATTAACGAACATTCCCACACGTCTCACTCTCTTTCGCCGATTAGACCGGTCTTCCGCCCTTCTATGATGAGAACGTGAATGTGATGTACCAGCGAATCCTGACAGACCCGCTGAACTTCCCTCTGGATATGCCTTCTGAGGCTCGAAGTGTGATGATGGGCTTGCTACAGAGGGATCCGACGAAGCGTCTTGGTGCCAATGGAGGAGAAGAAATCAAGAGACATCCTTTCTTCGCAAAGTACGTTGATTGGAACAGGTGTGTCTCCATATAGTGTCTCCATATTTTCCCGCTTTGAAGTTTTTCCCATCCAACTCCAGACTTCTCGCCAAAAAAATTCAACCCCCCTTCAAACCTAGTGTTGTACGTCTTGCAACTGGATCAACTCTTTGATAAGCTTCTTATCATATCTACTTCCTTCTAGGAATCGGTGTTGGACGTCGCTAACTTTGACCCTGACTTCACCAATGAAGAGGCACAAGACTCAGTTGTCACGGAATCGGCACTCTCCGAGACAGTGCAAGACCAGTTCAGAGGGTTCACCTACAATCCCGCAAACGAGCATCTGAGTGAGAGTGTCAGCTACCCAAACATCATGTAAATGCTCTCCCACACCGTCGTTGTGTCTATTTATCTGTGGATTCTCTGGATGAACCATTCCATCTACATATCTTCGCGTAAGTATTTTTTCACTCTTCGTTTCTCACTTGCGTGCATATCGGCCTTCGTTCTGGTTGTATATATAAATTGCAGCTTCGCTTTCGACATGTACCCTCTGCCCCTGTATCATTTCCTTCCATCCGATTTTTTCCTTCTTCTGTATCGAGCTCGAGCGTTTCGTCAATCTTATGTTATCCCGCTTCAATTTGACTGGATTGAACTGTTACTTTCACACACTTTCCCTTCCGACATAGTCGGATAACCTTAGGTACCGATGGATCTTAACTACTGTCAGCAAAATGATTAAGGGTTCACATGGTTTTATTAAGCGAAGACTAGAGAGCATTCCCAAACTTATATACATGGTGATTGTTGTGTTCCTGTCAAGCTTGGAACTAACGCGAAATATTGATTCCACGCTCGAGTGCCCATGCATCCTCGATCGTGGTCATGCATCATATTGGCAGTTCGACACGGTTGGACAGAATCAAATAAAATTTATTACGTAATCTACGTGTCAAATTTAAATTCAAGCACGAACATGTAACCACCGAACCACACCTTTTGACCACGATCTCGCGACAACGTAAGGATGTGGAACATTGGAAAACTTTTGAAGGCATTTTAGGATCCTTGCAGCTTACGGCTCTTTCATATCAACAATCCTGTCAAAACCCCACTCGTTCAAACGTGTCCAGAGTCATTCTACATCATCTTTCCGAAATGCAACTCGCTATCGCGCGGATCATCTATGCCACTTTGATGCACGGATTCAGGTCGATATCTCGTGAGGGGAATCTTGAAAATATGCTTATACCCACGCCTGTACTGGGTGACTGCATATTGAGGAAATATGAGAGACGTCACGAAACCTGGAGGATCATATGAGCTCAATGTCAACTGGGACAATGGGCATACAACAGACAAATTATGAATTCAACCCAAACAAGGCATTTGAGAGCTTGGATATCTCTGTACCAAGCTCTTTGATCGGGAAAATCTTATATGTATAACTATGAGGACGAGACACTGCAGAAAACGAAAAACAAGAGCTGACGATTTGGCATAGTGTCACAACGAAAAGGGATCTGTTGCCAACGAGCGGTAGAGAAAGAGTTGAATGCTGTCAGGTCAATGAATTTAACATCTGAGATCACGTCGACCCGAAACGCACTCACCTAACCAGAAGATACTCAACAGCCCTAACGATCCAGCTTCAGTATGTGCACGCCCAGTATACGAGTTTGTGAACGTAAAATCGAGTGCGATCTTATTCAATACAGATAAAACGCGTAACAAATGACTAGACAGACACCTGCATTCCAAACAAAAGGATGAATGTTGCAATGGAGAGGCCAAGAGGGAAGAGGTCCGCCATGACTGAAGAATCAAAGCTCGGGCGAAACAGTGAATCAATCGTGACGCTTACACAAAAAGTCCTGGAAATAATTCACGCGAGCCGCAAAAGCCAGGACAAGGATATTGACAAGAAACAGTACCACTATAAAGTTACATATTCAGCTAGAGCGGAAAGAATACCTCAGTGTTATTACCATGTGCAGTAGTTTTGGACCTGCCAACGGTCGAAAAAACCAAAGATAAGAACTAGAAATAATTTACGTATAAGTTGCACCAATGTCAAGGACCAGCCCAAAAGTGAGAAACGAAGAGAGACAGAGACACAGACAGAGAGAAGGTTATAAAAGCTGAATTCAGTCTTGAAGCATCGTCAAGACGACGAACAACTAAACCTGGCAAGTGTGGAATCAGAATGAACGGGCTATGCAAAAGATCGATTGTAAAAAGTGCTAAAATACACAAGATGTCTGTCCCAAAACTACGAGCGCGACCTCCGTCACCTGCTGGCAATCCATCGTGCTCAACTCTGAAGGAACTTGACAGCCCTACCGACTGTGAACCCTCCAAACCTCAAAACAAGGCAAGGAGGCAGGCAGAGAAGGGCCGAATCGGTGTTCCACGAGCGTAACAGGCCCCTAGTGTGTATGTCCGTTAGGGCGACTGGGGGCCTTGACTGGCTCATGGTACAATAAATGGAAATCGAAATTAGAGAGAAATGGAGGTAAAATTTTGTTGCGTGATACGATCTTGAGTATTGGCTGACGGAGTGTATATGATACTGAGCATGGGCTATGAACGTGGACCAAAGAGCTCGTAACAGCTTGAAAAGAAGGAAAAAAAGAAAAGGAAAAAAACTTGTTATGTAAGTATTTGATGACTAATCAGCTCTCACCGTGGCACGGTTAATATCGGTGGCTTGTGATTGGGCAGATGAAAGAACGCGGAGAGCTCCTCCGAATCCGTAGATCGCTCTTCCTTCACCCTTCACGATGGCCGCTGCCCTCATCGCCCGTTCAACGCTGCAAAGAGCTGTCGTTCAACGCTCGTTAGCTCGCTCAGCAGCGATTAAAGGCCAGTAAAAATATACTTGAGTCGAAGAACGTTAGCTGAAGGAACCGTGCAATAGTCAGACACTCGACGAGTGATGCAGCATATGTTCCAGGCGGTCGTGAGTGTTTATGAGATTCGTTCTTCAACCAACCAATCCTCAGTACTGCTGTAGCGGTGTACAAGGGTACTGTCAATGACCCCACAACGTTTCCTCCTCCCTCGCGTGCGCACGGGTCCTATCATTGGGCCTTCGAACGCCTCCTTTCTGCCAGTTTGGTGCCTCTGACCGTCGCTGCTTACGTTACCACCGGTTCCAACTACCCAGTCATCGATGGTCTCCTTGGTATGTCGCTTGTCATCCATAGTCACATTGGGGTGCGTCTTCGATCATATTTTCTGCCCTATCTGTGTTGCTGAAGAAATGGAATTAGTTCGACGCGTGCTTGGTTGATTACGTGCACAAGCGCAAATTTCCCGTGATTGGCCCCATAGCTACATGGACCCTTCGTGCGACGACTGTTGGCGTATTGGTTGGGGTCTATCAGTTCAACACGAATGATATCGGTGAGTAGTACAAGTCTACGGCATTCATATCATATTTATGCACCCCACGCAGGCCTCACAGAGCTTATTGCAAAAGTCTGGGCTGCATGATTGGTGTGCCACCACCATGATGTTCTAGACAAATGATATTAATTTTTCTTGAGGATGTCCATATATATCCGTCACGTTTATGAAGAGTTCCTCATCTTCAGTTTTTTTCGAAAGATAGAAGTGAAATTACATAGAAATAATGCCCAACAGAAACTTTGCAAGACAAAGTGGACTTATGTCCTTCCCTGACTCCTTGTGTCCCAAAAGTTCACTTGGCTTTATTGAGACAAAAAGACAAAAACGGGACACTGAAATGAAAAGTGCATTAAGGGGGAATCGAACCCCCGGCGGGTCGAACTCCCAAATAATGGCAACGACCCAGGTTACCACTACCCCATTAATGCTTGATGAACTCACCACTACCCCATTAATGCTTGATAAACTCACCACTACCCCATTAATGCTTGATAAACTCACTATGCATACTGCCCTACCTCTGAGAAAGGATGATTTGTCGATCGAAAGTGAACTCTGTCTCCCGAGTAAGGCGCCATTCTGTCCGCTACCGAACGTCCAGCGTTCAATTGATGTATTTTGTTCTAATGACGGTGGACGGTGACCCGTCTTTGAGTGAATGCTGTGCACTAGATTATAATCCCCAGTCTTGTGCGTCCTCTAAATAATACCTGATGGAATCGTAAGTCTAAAACCAGGACAGGAACACAGTATTGCCTTAGTAAGTACATAGTAACGTTACTCTCAGGCTGTTACTGATCAAGTGATAAGTAATGAGTGTTGAATGCTCTAAGAAATAATTGTGGGTCAATGAAGGATCATGCTTACTGTGGACTCTGTCTGAAGAAGCAGCCCCGCCACGGACCGATGTCAATGAGGCTGTCCGTCATGTTTGTGAAAATGTCATTGACCCAAAGCCCTGAAAATCTAGAGAAAATGTGAATCATGATTAAAGGCCTGGAACAAAAGCTTGGTCGCAGACCAAGAGAGTGCTTACGGCTGAGAAAGTCATATGATTGAAGGTCAAGGCATTTTTCAGGACCCAATTCGCAGACACCTGATTGGAACTGATTGTCACCAAGACTGCTCCTATGAGATTATTGTTACAAATCGATGACACATGATATGCATGACTGACAATGACTTCAATGAACTATTGAGAGACAGATATTAGAACTGCAAGTTCATTGTAGCAGAGACGGTGGTTGGGGACCAAACGATTGTTTGGCAGAGTGGTTGTTTGTGATCGGTTAACACTGACAGAGACATCGTTCGAGGTTGTTCGTGTCACGACGACGAAGGCCAACTCTCGAACAGTAAACGCTTCAGCTCTCTAGAGCCAGCTTTCCTCGAGATTTGGTCTCTATTGACCCCCAGCCTCTTCAGAGCGCGTCTTTCCTTTCCCTTTCCCCTTTCTACTTCGTCTGCCATTCATTTCAATACCATCGTACTCGTATACCCTTGCTCGGCATTCCAGTGAAGCCACGCATCCATTGTTCTGTGTCATCTCATCTTGCAGAACCATAATCTATTCGATTCATCATGTCGAACGCCGCATCCTCGTCGACCTCAACAACAGCACCCATCAGTGCCAGTTCCAACGGGCAGGATTCTCATTCATCCCAGGAAAATAACGAAGACAGAAACAGGTACCTCCCAATATTTGACACGTACACTCCACCTTTCTGACTTGCCGATTATATAGTGTTGTAATCAAGGTTGGGATGGTGGGCGACTCACAAATCGGCAAGACGAGTCTGATGGTCAAGTACGTAGAGGGTAGTTTTGACGAGGATTATATTCAGACGCTGGGTCAGTCGTTATCTTTCCTTCCGAGCACGTTCGTTCTTCTGACTTATATAGGCGTCAACTTCATGGAGAAGACGATAACCGTACGGAGAACAACTATCACCTTCTCGATATGGGATCTCGGTGGCCAACGGGAGTTCGTGAATATGTTGCCGCTAGTCTGTAACGACGCCGTTGCCATTTTGTTCATGTTCGATTTATCACGGAAGTCAACCCTGAACTCGGTCAAGGAGTGGTATCGGCAGGCAAGAGGATTCAATAAAGTGTGTATTTACTTTCGTGCTGTTCTCGAAGTCCTCGAGTTTCATCTTTCAATCTCCCAGACGGCCATTCCATTCCTGATCGGCACCAAATTCGACACTTTCGCGACATTTCCACGAGACGAACAGGAGGAAATCACGAAACAGGTGCGTTTTCTTTCTCTCGCATCCCCCTCGAATTTGTTCATGAAACGCGAAACACACCAGGCTAAACGATTTGCTCGAGCCATGCACGCGTCACTGATATTTTGTTCTACATCAGCGTCAATAAATGTCCAAAAGATCTTCAAGATCGTCTTGGCCAAGGCCTTTGACTTGAAATGCGTCATACCTGAAATTGAAGGGGTGGGCGAACCAATATTGATTTACGTGGATGTGTAATGTGAGAGAGGGAGGAATACATCTGGTGTGAAGACAAGATAGTCAAAGGGTGGGACCAAGAAAATACCAAGGTAAGCACCCGTCGCTGAGAGGCCCACGTGTGACTGATAAGGAGTGTGCTAGTTGTATGTTTTTCTCTGGCCGATGATTCTTATTGATTGAACAGTCTCTGATCACCTGAATCTGCTCTGCGCAGGAGATTTATCCAACATCTTACTGTAACACACCTTCCTACGGCTGTACAGTACAGACATTCTACTTACCCTCCTTTGACCTACACTATACTCCCTTTCATGGCACCATATAGATTCCTCTCTCGTGTCTTTCACCCACGCCGTCGTTTTCGTTGTTCTACTGCAATCCCTATGTTTTATTCCTTGTCTACCTATCGTGGCATCGTCGTGCATAACTATAAATTGTTTCAGTTTACATCGTAAATTGGAAAGAAGATCATTACCACTTTCTCACACTTTATGCTATTTGCCATCCGGCCCAGTTCTGCTGAGGTCGCCTTTTCTTGATCCTTGAGACCTTGTTCCTCTATCTGCATTGATTCCCTATATGACCTTATTACGATCATCTCAATTTGGTTATTGTATATTAGCAGATTCCTCATGTTGGAATGAGAAATTCCATATTCAAACCCCATTTGACGTTCAACCTGCTGTCACCTGCCAATGTGACGTCGACTTAGCTGAAGACCAGAAGAAGGCTAAAAGCGGCTAAAACGCCACCCTTGTGGCTATTGTGTTATGCAGGTTACACATTGTAATGCTGCTTGACTTTGAGAGATGTAAGGTTTCTGCCACGAAGAAACGACATGATCATGTATTGACCAAAAATGTCCGTCAATGACGGAGTGCTAAGAGACAATTAACTGAGCAATCGTTCGAGTGAAAACTCGTTATCCGAGCTTAGAGAGTAATCGATTGCATCCCGACAACATGGAAGTCTTTATTTCAGTTCATGGTTCGATAAGCGCTATAAGGGCTCATAGGAGCTGAACAAGTTTTCTTTGATGTGCGTCATATGCCAGTGCAACCATATAATCAATCGTAAGTATGGTTTCTGGTCTGACTGTTCCGAGCTATATATCACTTTATCGGACCCGCTACACATCCTTTCCATCAGAGAGATAAGGACTCAAAAACTCATTAGCCCGGAGTGAAAATTGCCAAGCCGGGTCAGCACCACCTATCCGGAAATCATGAGGACACCTCAAAGAACATCAAGTGTCAAGGGTGCATTCGAACTCGAATTCAATGTCGGAAAGTCACGAGATTGGTGTACCTCTTTAACTTCCGGAGTTTGGCCGCCCATTATAGGACGACGGGTGCCTTGAGATTACCAGTCCTACTCTCCGTTCCAAACGCTACACTGCCCGCCTAGAATGATATTTGAACGCGGCCGATTCAGGAAACACAGTCAAACTTCATAACCGAAGCTAGAGGCAATTTGGCGATAAGCAAAGCCTGCCACGTGAGGGGTGTCACTGAAGCCTCCAACCTCTCCACACATACATACCAATGGAAGAACAGCTGTTCTCCTTGTTCTAATTATGTCAGTTACCGAAAGTTGACGGCTGCGCGTGCTCAACCGTCTCAACTATATTGCTTTGTGTCGCCCAGTTCGCCTAATAAGTGATATGTCGATGGTATATTGTCCCGCAGTCCAGCCGGCCAGTACACGTTCGTCATTCTTGTCTGCCCATGACCAAAATCACGTTCTTTGGCTTGATTCAGCAGCTTCCAGCTGACCGCTCTCGCCTATGACATGCAATCTCGCACTGTCATTACGACTCAGAATCGATTTGGACTTTTGGATCTCGTCGCCATTGGTTATGTTACAGGCTGTTCGGTGACCTGTGCATTGGCTTGTTGACTGAGTAATGGCCTCAGATGGAGAGTGCATATTATAGTGTGATCGTCTCTTCTTTGACCTATCTTGCAATCTGCTAGGACTTCCGATAATTTTCTTCGGGTTCAATAATCCCCATTTGTCCCACCTTATGTTGCCTCTTCTCGTAACACATGGAAAATTTTCATGCATGACATGTTCTTGTCTTCTTCACAACGTATAAATATGCATAGATGCTCTGAGATGCTCCCTCTGTCAGGCCTCAACCCTCACTAGTTTTCATCGGGTGTTTACAGGACCATGGCCTGTTCTCAATCCTTTTTCAAACGGTTACTGCTTCTTGTGCTCACGGCTTCATTGGTAGCCGTTAGTGTTGATGCCACACAGATTATGCATCGTCCATCTACGTACAAGGATGCTGCCAACACTGTACAGACTGATACGACTCCCAAGACGAAAACCATCACAAAGCGCGCTTCTGGAAAAACATCTTTTGCTTATTTTACGAACTGGGGCATCTACGGCGCTAATTTCCGTGAGTCTTTAATGCTTGAGTCCTCCAAGAAACAGGTACTGACTTTCACATTCCAGAACCGACCGATATTGTCCCATCTATCTTAACCCGTTCGTTGATGTCAACCATCTATCTCGTGTCATTCTCACCATCAAATGCAGATATTCTGTATGCCTTTGCGGATGTAAATCCATCAACAGGAGCCATCAGCCTCACTGATTCCTATGCCGATGAACAGGTGAAATGTCATCTCTGTCTCTAATGTGTATATTTCTCAACTTCTATTCTGCAGAAACATTTCCCATCTGATTCATGGAGCGAGACCGGAAACAATCTTTATGGTTGTCTAAAGCAACTTTATCTCCTGAAGCTCAAACAAAGGAACTTGAAGGTTCTGCTCTCTATCGGTGGTTGGACCTACTCCCAGTATGGTTAGTGTATCTATCTCTCGAGCTTTGTTCAGACAGTTTACGATCCCAAAGGACACTTTGACTTTGTAACAAGCGCCTCTGCCCGTGCAACATTCGTTACCAGCGCCGTTCAGTTCATTGAAGACTATGGTTTTGAT